GGTTTCAGCTGATGCATTGTCAGGTGTTGCTTTTCCAGTCACCGCTGTTATGGTTACTCTGTGCTTTAAGAGACTGGCACCCATCCATTACCTCACGTGCTTGTCAAGCTTGCTGGTTTGCACTGAGTTGGCTGGGACTGCCAGGCAACGTATTGCTTAGTGCTTTTGTGATTTGGGTGCATGGATCTTAGAGAATTATTTTGAAATGTGTAGCAACCTTCTGATGATTATATTTTTTTATATTCTTTCGAAGTCCCTGTGGATGATCCTTGTTCCATCTGGGCGTTGGTGAAACACTGAGTAGGCAGTGGCATCTGCAATACAGATCACATTTCAGCCCCCATGTCCCAGAGCTGCAGAATTTAGCTTAAATGGTGCAAAGACTTTAAGAGAATGGTAGATGATGATAACTGACGATTAAGTACTCTGTCTTTATAGCCTCTTAAGAAAAATTATAATGAAATTTCTCACTATCCTTTTGTTTCTTGCTGTCATAACAGCTCTTTGTAGGCTTGCGTAGGCTTTGTACTAGAGCAAAGAAAAAAGGCAGCAGGATCGTAGGTAAAGAAACTACTGAAATTGTCCTGGAAAAAGGTTGCAGAGGTTGTTGTTAACTACTGTATAGCAGAATTTCCATGAAAATCTACCAGATCAAGCAAGAAACTACTACTTTGCCTTGCTGATGATAGAAAAATGAACGTAGGGACTCTATTAAATTTGCTATTTCAGTTTACTTCTGTTCTTTAACTCACTGTAGTTTCAAATAACGAGCTAGGATTGTTAGTGATTTTTTTTTTTTTTTTTTTTTTTTTTTTTTTTTTGAATCTTCCTTTCCCCCTGCCCTCCCATCCCTATTAGTTTAGATGTAGTTGGTATTTATAAATTTTATTTGTTTCAATCAGGACCCTGTTCTGCAAATTCCTGCTCACACTACCTGCTTGTCAGTGCTTGCCTCAGGGTAGTTACAAGTGTGGTAGCTGTTGGCAGAACTGAGCCATTTGTTTTTGTTTTCTCTTTAAGTAAGAGAGAGATTTTATTTTTCCATCAAACAGGTTCAAGTCTCTGTCACCTGTACCCTCGGGTCAGAATAGATCTGTCCCTGGGATATTTGGTATTTCAGTGAGAGGCTTGATTTGTTCTATACAGCCCTTAAAACAGCTTCAAAAAAGAGCAAAAAAACCCAACCCTAAACAGATCAAGGAATACTCTCAGTGGATTCCACTTAACCTATTCAGTGAGCTGAATATGTTATATATTATTATATTATTGTGTGTGTGTATATATATAATGCAGTGTTATAGTTGTTCTCCTGAAATAGTGGGAGGATTTCAGGAAAGCAGATTAGGTCTTTGGGCACTCAGACCTGATCCAAAACCCCTCAGTATATGAGCCTGCTCCCAGTAAGTGTAGTGGGTTTTGCTAAGCCGTATCCTACTGGTGTCTTGAGGCAGGATTGTGATGGCTGTGCTTCTGCATAGTAGTAATGTATGAAACTGTGCTCTGATAATGACAACAGTCCTCTGGGGGAAGCTGTACTCCCAGGAATCAATGGCTCCAAGTTGCTGTTAATCTTTAATTCTTAATGGGATAGGTGAGATGGCAACAGTGAACTCTGCCTAGGGTTGAATAGTCTGGAAAACTTCATCTTCCCTGTGTGTGTGTATGTGTGTGTGCATATATATATATATGCTTCAGTGCTGTGCTTCAAATTCAGTGATTCAAAAGCGCAGTCCAGTGCTGCTGCACAGATTAATGTCAGGCACCACGGCACAATACTTTGAATGCCTTGTGGCTCTGTTACAGGGATTGGTTCTTCCATTATCTTCCACAGCATTTTTGCTCTATTGCTACCTAGCTGCTGTTCTAGTGGCACAGCCTGTCACATGCTCTTTAGCAGAATACTAGCTGTTGTCCTCTTCAGCATCCCACATCTTTCATTACAGCATCTTTTAGTGTGTGTGTGTGTGTGTGTGTGTATGCATGTATGGATGTGTTAGTTACAGTTCACACTGAGTAACTTATATGCTGAATCTAAGAATGTTAACATTTTGCACCTTTGCCTTTTGGAATGTTTTATTTTTAATTGGAAAACCCTTAAGTACATTGATCTTGAGGCATTCAGACAATCCTCATACGTAGATCTAAATTTTCTCTGTACATACATAAGTAGCATAGAACACTGAATGGGAATCTAGAAAAAATGAGGCCTAGAGAAATCCAGCCAAAGTAGAAGATCAAGGAAAACTGAGCAGAAATGTAGAAGAAAGGAGGCTGAAGGAGATAAGGGCTGTGAATACACATGGGCAATAGCATTAGTCCTAGTCCTATTGCAGCATGAGGCAGTGATTTGAAAAACAGATACCATCACTAACAAAGAGGAAGATCTTGCTTTAGAAATAGATGTGAGAAAGATTCCTCCTACAGCAGGCACACAAAGTTTTCATCTTCCCACTCACGCCACTGCTCCAACAGCCTGCAGCCCTGTTTGCATCCTCAGTTGAGTGGGGTTGGAGACTGAAAGTTGCAGTTCAGCAAATGTACTTTTGCCTACCACTGCCCGGGACAGCATGCCCCACTGGTATGGGGCTGAAAATGATCTTTTCCCACCTAGCTCCAGTCTCCTGCTTTCCTTGTTTTAGGGGAAAAAGGGTTGTGAGTAGATATATAATAAAGAATCAAATAAAAAATTGTCAGCACTTCTTATTGCGTGAGTACCTTAAGCATCTTCATCCCAGGCAGCTGTAACCTAAGCAGTCACATTTCCCTTGGAGCTGAAGTTGAATTTGGCCCATTGTCTCCTTCACACCCACAGCACAAATAATAGCTGCAGCTTTTGAGGGCTGGGTGGGAGGGAGGAGGTGGGAAAGCCACTAGAGTGTGGTGTTGCATTGACAGCTGACATGTATTCCTTGGAAACCTGTGCTTCTCATCACTTCTGGATATAGCAGTATGACACATCATTGGGAGACATGATACACTGTGTTAGGAGTGGGGCATCATGATGAGCATAGGATCTTTATAGAAGGGATACAGAACCCTGCTGACTTCTGGTTGCGGGGCGGGGTGGTGAGGGGGGCCAGCAATACAAACCTGAAAACTGGCTTGGACTCTTCAAAAACTCCACTTTAGGCAGGAGTTACATCCACAGGGATTACTTCAACTCAATGATGTTTACTTCCAGTTGTTCTGTGAATAATTTTGGGTCCTGTTTGTCTGCAGCAGAACTGAGGAAAACAGGACTTCTGCTATCTGCTAAATAGGCTACACAGAAATAATTTTTAATCTCTTCTGCTTGAATAACATTCAAGGAGAATGTTATTGCTCCTTCCTCCAGAAGGAGGCTTGGACCGCTTACAGGTGCTGTGCCTTTCATTCTCACTACCCTACAGTTAGCCCTGTGCTAGCAGTGTGCAGTAACAATCTGGAATGATTTAAGGCAAATTAATATAGAGTATGATACCGCAGGGGTGTATAAACCTGCAGTAGGGATTTATTAAACTGTAACTTAGCTGGAGCTAGCGATGTCTGTGGAGTTTCAGCAAGTGCATGTGAGCCTTCATGATTCTTTAACATCCACAACTTTCTATGAGCGCTTCCTCTTGCTAGCACAGTATGTTTACAGAAGTATTACTGCTGCATGGGAAACTTGGATCAAACCAAGAGTGACTTCAGCTTGAGCTGCTTTCAAAACCAAGATAAGTCAAATAGGAAAGTAATCTTATTTCAGAATAAGCGCTCCTTTATGCAGATTATATTTTGTCAGTTCAAGTTGCAGCAAAGCTTAAGACTTCCCTGAGGAAAAAGAAATCCCAAAAAGAAATACCGCTTGCATATGTGACTTCATACATCCTCCTCGCATGTGGTAAGGCAGCCACCCAATTTTGCCCCCACACAATGACCAATACTGCTATAACTGAACAAATCTGGGAAGGGCAGCCAGGTGAAAGTGTGATCTGGAGAGCTATACTTTGCCCATGTTTTGTTACTTGCAATTTTTCTTTGTGCTTTGCACTTCTATTCTGTTGTGCATAGCCACTACATGCTGTTACAAGCTCTGTTTTTTTTTTCTCCAGCATGGTGCCATGTCCTAATGATGGAAGAAATGAGCCTTGCCTTCCTTGTTTGCGGTGCTCTTTAGGATTCCTCAGCATGTAATGTGCTTGCTAGTGGGCTGTGGTTCTAACTTGCCAGGGTTTTAAGTCCCAAATCATGAGACTCTATTTCGCTCTATTTTTTTTTATTTTTATTCTTCCATCTTTCCACCTCTGTGATGGAGCACTCAGCTGCTGTTTGTGAGCAGCTGCTCTGTTTCCCTGCCTGCCTGGAGCGGTATCCAGACAGCTGCCCTGGGGGACAGCCAAGGTGGCCAGAGCAGTGACCAGCTTTGTTAAAAAGTAACGAGATTGGGAAAGAGAGGAGCGAGTGGGAAAATCTGTGACCTGGAATAAGTTGTACAGCACACTGCTAATGAGTGCTGCAGGGGCACTGAGTGAACTATGTGCCCGATTAATGGTGTTCTATGCACCTAATATGATGAGACTCCCTTGTTGACTTGGTGAAAGCTGTTAGTCGTGACGTGATACTGAAAGCCTCTGGGAAAGGAAATATTGCTGACAGTGGCAAAAAGCTCACATTCGTGTCTCATGGAAACTTAAATATGCGTAAGTGTAGTTTCAGCGTCTGCTCTCTGCATGACTCATTCAGAGAGAGAGAGGGCCAGGTGTGGCTCTGAACAGGCCTGTGGTGTGCAGCATGACTCTTTATTTTTTACAGACATCTTTCTTGTGGATGGTAGAACATTGTATTTGACTATGTATGTCTGTTGTTTTACGAGTGTATTTTTCCAGAGATGACTGCAGTGTTTGCTTTATGCTTCTACCTCTGAGTGCTTGCAGATCAGGAAGGAGCAATTCAATGTGCTTGAAGCTATATGATAGGTTTATGATATGTCAGGATTTCAGATTTTGCCCAACTTAATATTTCTTTTCTTTGTGTTCCAGAAAAAAGCATGGCATACAATTAAAACCATGGTTAATTTACCAGTGATTAGCCCCTTCAAGAAACGCTACTCGTGGGTGCAGCTGGCTGGGCATACAGGTGAGATGAGTATCTTCGGTGTTTCTGTCTCTGAAATGTGGTGTGGGTTCATTTCCACTGACTGAGTTGCCGATGTTACTTCCTTAGCTGGAAGCATTACTGTCCTTGCCTTTGTGCACCCAAGCCTTGACAAGGACAGGTTTTCTGGTACCAACCCCAAACTCTTGGCATGAACGTAAGCCCTTGAGAGGAAAGCAAATATGGTGACAGTTGATTTGGTGGCCAGGTGTTTGCATAGTGAGGATTGTTGGTATTCATTATATGCATGCAATGCACATAGCAACTCAATCAGCTATTTCTGTGTCAGTAGAAGTTAGTCAGTGTGCTCCTGATATAGGATTACTTTCATCGATAAGCTTAAAACAAACATACAGCAACAAGAAAAAAAAAACAAACAGAAAAGAACACCAATAAGGAGAAGTCATCAGGTTTGCTTCTCTTACGCTTCATTTAATTCTTATGCAGCCCTTGTTCCCTATGTGCAAGCGTAGGGTTTATTAGTACACACGTGGGCAGGCTCCTACGCTGCATCGTGCTTTAATGCAGCACTCGAACCAGCTCTTTGTGTGTTAATGCGTTAATGTAGTGCGCTTCAAAGCTGGGCAGAGAGATTTATTTAGTCCTAGAAATGGAGTAGCTGCATTTGTGTAGTGGTGTACTGACCTGTGTCACCCAGTGCCAAGATGACCCTGTCTTACTGTAGTTCCTATCACAGTGTGTCTGGCGTTGGCTTGATCTGTGCGGAGTGTTGCACTGAACGTGTGTGTAATTGTAACCCTTCTGAGTGCTTGTGTAGGATGAAGAAGAGGGCGGAGAGGTTACCAGAGATAATTAGGAGAGATACCATTTCTGTTTGCTTTTGATAGTTTTCTGTGGTTGCGTTTAGTCCATCATTTTTGCAGCTGTTCTTCTATGATATGACAAGTTTTTTCTAAACTATAACTTGTGCCATTGTCAGCCTAGCCCTTGTAATGAGCCAGTGCCAGCTCCAGAATTTGTCAGCAAGGAAACAGTTTGCAATGGCTGAAAGATCCCGCTGCAATAGAAGTACAGTGCTAGGCACAGGTTTAATGAAGCTCCTACTTTAGGGCCTATTTTCTGTTGTGAAGATTAAATAAAGAGTACCTGTGAATGAAACGTACTTTTCTCAGATATTATTGGCAGGCTGCAAATTCCACAGCTGGAGAGTAATGACTGCTTATCTTGGCCTATGCACACTCTTTCATTTGTACTGGATACCATTCAGGCCCGTGGCTGTGAAAACAATTGTGCTGCAGGCTGTACCTGCAGATTAGCAGGGCTCCCCAGGGCAGGCACAGTACCTGGGTGTGCCTGCATGTGCAGTCACAGACTGTGCGTGTGGAAAGGGCAGTGCTTGGCTTTGTGATTGCTGATGGACTGCGCTGCCTTGGGATGTACACACTCAGCAGGTACACCATACGTGAGGATTAAGGCCAAAGCCAACGCTGACAGTCTTACGCAGCTTTAAAAGAACCCTTCAGAGCAAAGGAAGCATGGCTTGTGGTTTCTTCTTGTACATTTTAGTAAGTATAGTAATGTTTAATAGACTCACAAAGAGTTCGGTGTGGATAAAAAAAATGAGCTGGAGCAGCTGCATTCCTTAAAGCTATAAATTCCAGTGTGGGAATGTATCCAAATGGATTTTCACTGCCAACAGCTGTGTTTGCCCTGGGCGTTTTATTTTTATGAGAGGCATGTTATCTTTTCTCATTTGGGGAAAATCTTTGTGGTATCATGCTGCTGAGGTAGGTGAGGCTGGAGTAGTGGGGGGAAGGTGCTTTCCCCTTCGCAGGTGAGGCTTTTCAGCATATCTTTGATTTTCTTTTCAGGGAGTTTCAAGGCAGCTGATAGTGGTAAGATTCTCAAACGCTTCTCAGAGAATGAAAAGGAATGTTTTGAGCGACTGATGAAAGATCCACTACGATCCTGCGTCCCTTGCTTCCATGGTGTGGTGGAGAGAGATGGAGAGACCTACATTCAGCTGGATGACTTGCTTACAGATTTTGAAGGGCCATGTGTGATGGACTGTAAGATGGGGATCAGGTGAGACGTGAAAGAGAACGTGTTTTCTAACCTAAACGCGTTTGTAGGAGGCGAGGGGAGGGGTAATATGGTCGTGCTGTGTGTGTTGGAGGAGCTTGGTAACAGTTTGGGAGCCTTGGGATTCAGTCCAGACAATTGGTTTGACATTTGCCTTGGGCAGCCTAAGGAGTCTGTGTCCCATTGGTGCCGAGTTACACGTGGGTTCTGGAAACTGAGTGACCCGTAGACTAAACGTGACCCCCATCAAGATGTTTTCGGTGGTGACTGGGACAAAGTTTCTCTGCAATGGCCTGAAAAAACATGGAGAGAAAGTTACACGATTCACTCTCTGCCAGTTCATTTAATCTTTGCCTTTGCAGTGATTCATTAAAACCCTATGAAGTGTAAAATTCCCTTCTCCAAGTGTGAATGGCTGAATACCAATAGAAAAGCCAATTTCTAAAGCTTGAATGAGTCTTTGGTGATATTGATCTTCCCTGTGGAGAAGTATTGACTGTCTGCCCAGGACTGACTTTTCCCCATTCTGACATCTGTGTGATGTTATTCACCTTGTTCTTCAGCTTCTCACTTTCTTTTCTTTTTCCATTTTCCATGTCTTCTGTATGATTTAGGAGAAAACCTCAAATAAGTTATCTAAGCATAACAAATACATACAGAATCTGTTGAAGGCCTCAAGTAACAGTACAGAAAGGTAGAAACTGTTATAGTAATCCTTTGGGTGCCAACTCAGGTGCTTGGTTACTGCAATAAATGGAATATGCAATTTATGGGAGTGAGACAAGCCTTTTAAAATAGGCGGAGAATCTTAAGTGAACTGTCTGCTAAATCAGAGTAGAAATCTGCTATGCCCAGAAGAAAGAGGAGAAGCATTGGCAGCAGTACATGTTGTGTTCACAGTAGTTGACGCTTAGGGAACGAGTGACAGCATCTCTTAAACAACAGTCCAGCTTGTTTTGCAGCGTGATTAAGAATTAAGGATGTACACTCCAGGCACCTGACAAAGTGAAACTTGTGGAGAGGGACAAGTTTTAGGATCCAGTGAAATGCAGAGACAATGGATACTGCCTTTTTAGTGGCTGCCAAGATGGAGCGATAAGAGCAAAGCACAGAAGTGTTGTCTTCCCTTTCTTAGTTACTTCTTCTGGTTTGGAGCTACAGTTCCTCAGATAACATGCTCTAGTTCATTACAATTTGAAGATTTATGTCTTTTACTCTCTAAAACATTATATGAAACTGTATTTGCTTTTTGAAGCCTGAAAAAATGCATAAGTGAAGTTTTTCTCAAGGAGAGAGTAGCCATTAAGACTTCAGCAGGCCCCTTTGCTTTTGATTTCAATGCAGGTGATCTGATCTCTCTTAACTGTCCTCTGAAAGTACATTTGTATGTCCTGGCAGAATAGGAACTCGGCTTTCTCTCATTCTTGTAAGCAGGACGTAAGAATAACGTGTAATTGTAAGGCAAAGGTATGGTTAAAACAAGAAGTGAATGAGGCAAATCTTGATTCCTGCTATAGTTTCACTAAGTAAGCATGTGTGGTCGTTAGTCTGTGCTTTGCATTTGCCATGTGCAAAACTGAGGTAATGGTAGTACTATCCTGGCCAACTGAAATTGTAAAAATAAAGTTGGGAAGTTCCTGCAGTTTGTTGGAATGTGATGTCTTTGCAGGACATACCTGGAAGAAGAGCTGACTAAAGCCCGTGAGAAGCCAAAGCTGCGTAAAGACATGTACAAGAAAATGATTGAAGTGGATCCTCTTGCTCCCACAGCTGAAGAGAATGCTCAACATGCTGTCACCAAGCCCCGATACATGCAGTGGAGGGAAACAATCAGCTCTAGTGCCAACCTGGGCTTTAGGATTGAAGGGATTAAGGTAATAGTTCTGCTTCTGCCTGTTCAATTTAAACTGAACTTTGATTTGTTAATTAATCAAAATGCTAGCATGCATCACAAACCAGGTTTTCTAATGGATTATGTGAAAATGCATTAATTATATCCATGAAGTTCAATGTATTGTTGCTTTAAAGCATCAGTTGTTATAACAGTTGGGTCAAGTATGTTAAGTGCCAAATGCGTATCAGCCATGCTCAGTTCAACCACAGACATACTGCAGGAAGAAAACAAGAAGGTACAGAGCGTAGATACAGTAAAAATGTAAGGAGGAATGAAGAACTGATGAAATAGCTGCCTCTCCCCTCCACTTTCATTTGTTTATTTATTTATTTATTTATTCATACCCTGTTATATTCCATTTAAATCACAGAAGAGAGTGTTTGTTCCAGTTATGCTTATTTGCAAGGCAAGTTAAAAGCATTAGAATCACAGAGTCGCCAAGGCTGGAAAAGACTTCCAAGGTCATCCAGTCCAACCGTCCACCTACTGCCAATATTTCCCACTAAATCATGTCCCTCAGTACAACATCCAAATGTTTCTTGAACACCTGCAGGGTCGGCGACTCCACCACCTCCCTGGGCAGCCCATTCCAGTGCCTGACCACTCTTTCAGAAAAGTAGTATTTCCTAACATCCAACCTGAATCTCCCCTGGTGCAACTTGAGGCTGTTTCCTCTAGTCCTAATCACTAATTACATGGGAGAAGACGCTGGCCCCCATTTAGCTATGTATTGTTAGGTTAGAGGAAACATCTTTTACTTCTAGGAATATGACAGTATTCAGTATAGATGAAGCTGGAATAAAGCCCAAAAATACAATGATAAAACCTGTCAATCAGCAAAATCCTTCTGCTGTTCTTGATGGATGAGTTTGTGTCCCTATATCGTATCTAGGATAGTACTTTACAGCCTCTGAAGAATCTTTGCAATTTTCTTTCCTATCCATTAATTGCTTGTATTTCTTGTGCCTCATGGCAGAATCAATGTCAACGGTTTATGGGCTGGTCCGGCCCAGTTCCGTGACCAGCAGGGCGGAGGGATCTGCGGATCCGCGCCTCTGGGAAAGGGGAAGCAGGGGACCCCAAAATACTTGAAAAAAACAACAGCACTGATCTGAGGTGGAACAAATGATTTTACTAAATATAGTATTAGTAAACTACAAAGAGAGAGAGAGAGAGAGAGAGAGAGTCTGTTTGAATTGTATAGACCTCACCACAATCCTGGGGTGAGAAGTGCAGTCCAGTTGAGTGACTGAAGTACAGACGGCGAAGTGCAGATGGCGAAACGCAGGCGGCGAAGCGCAGATAGCGAAGCGCAGACAGCGAAGAGCAGGCGAAGAAGAAGGCTCAGGTGACCTTGCATGGAGTTATATCCCCTTGCTGACCGCAAAGCCTCCTGGGGAAATGTAGTTCTTCTCCGACGGACGAACATTCGGCAGATATCAAACCCCACCCCCAGTGCATTACATGATGTTATGGTGTGGAATACTGATGACCAAAAATCATAAAACCATGACATTCCACCCCTTATTCTACATCACTACATCATGCTTAACACATGGGATTACAGACTGCACTCCCCCAACATCAAATTCCCTTGTGGTACACACTGAACATCCCCCTTTTTCTGCATCACCCACCAGGTGGACCCAGGTCCCTGGGCAAAGACAGTTCCGCGAAGAGGTTTGCCCTTCCCAGAAGCAGGAAAAACCCAAACTGCTTTTCCTAACATGTTCTTTACATGTACTACAGGGACCTTATCTCCCTCTACAATATGTAGGGAGCTGGATTGGGTAGGACCATCTCGACTGATTGATCCTCTGGTGTTAACCAGCCAGGTGGCTTCTGCCAAATGCTTCTCCCAGTGTTTAAATGTTCCGCCACCCATTGCTTTCAACATGGTTTTTAACAACCCGTTGTAGCGTTCGATCTTACCAGAGGCTGGTGCATGATAGGGGATATGATAAATCCACTCGATGTACTGCAGGTGCTCAGGAGCACTGCCCTGTTCCAGTGCAGCTTGAATCAACCCATGACAATCAATTACCTATCCAGAAACCTTTAGGATCTACACTTAGAGTATCACCAACGTCACTAAGTAACTCAAATGCTAAGGCTCCAGGGTGACCTGATAGCGACCTTCCAGTACCTAAAGGGGGCGTACAGGAAAGCTGGGGAGGGACTTTTTGTAAGGGCACGTAGTGACAGAATGAGGGGAAATGGCTTTAAATTGGAAGAGGGTAGATTTAGGCTAGATATTGGGAAGAAATTATTTACCATGAGAATGGTGAGACACTGGCACAGGTTGCCCAGTGAGGTTGTAGATGTCCCTTCCCTGAACGCACTGAAGGCCAGACCGGATGGGGCTTTGAGCATCCTGGCCTACAGCAGGGGTAGGAACTACGTGACCTTAAAGGTTGCTTTTAACCCCAACCATTCTATGATTCCATCACTGGCTCTGTCACAGATCAAATTAGTTTAAATTAGTTTGCTTGGGTTTTGATAATTGTGTACCTGTAGCAGCATAGCGCTGGTGAGGGCAGCCCAAACACCTTGCACCCTGCGTGAGTACTTGCTAGCTGAAGTTGGTAATGGGGGGTCTGAAGAGGTTAGTAGGCTTAGTTACCCTGTGTGATTTCAGGATGTTCATCAGAGCACAGTTGTGCCTTTTGTCAGCGTATATACTTAAGTATATTTTGATGCTTTAAATTATTATTTGGATTTTGCATCTGCTTTGTAGTTCTAGCACATAGGAAAAAGAAAGGAATCAAAGAAGGTGATTCACATGAACAGAGGCTCTTTAACCATTCCAATCTTCTCCACTTCCACGTGTTGTCTTTTCCCTTCCTTGTTCACAGATCCTTCTGCTGTGCTACAGGAACTAGTCCTTCCAGCTCATGCTGTGTTTGGCCCCCTGTATGCTGTGCCACCCACTCCTGGCTGGTAGACAGGCATTCTCATGCAGGAACTGTCTGGGTGGTAGATGGTCTGCCTCTAATCCTGCCAGCATACTTTCTGTCTTACCCTTCAGCAGTATAATGATGTTATCCAAGTTACCTGTTTCATTCCTATGCCACTTTAAGTCCTTGAATGCTCTCTCTAATTGAATCAGAAACCCAGATGATCTCAAGACTTTTTGTGTACGTTCTTGGGAATATCTGAAGTCAGTGTAGAAGACTTACAGATTTGTGTTGAGTCCTGAAGAGTGACTGAGCTAGAGGAGCTCCAGTAAAACCTCCTGGCTTGTTCTTTGTGATTTGGCTGGTTGTCAGAGGTGGGAAGGAGCAGTATGGCACACAGACTGCATGATATTTCCCTCTGCTGAGACAGTGCTGTAACTGTGCAAAAAAGTACGCAAATAATCCTTTTTTAAAACACAAGAAATACTGTGGAGTACTCCAGTGTGCTTCCTATTCTTCTGTCTTTCTATGCTGTTATGGGGGATGTAGGCAGGCATTATTCTTCCATTTTTCTATATGGAAAAGGGGTGGCAGTTTTTCAAGTAATACAGCTAATCAGTGTTCCTCCAGACTGCTTCACTGTAGCCGAACTCTAAGTCCCATTTTGTATATTTGCAGGGGAGCAATGCCACACTTCACAAGTCCCCGTTTTGAGAGTAAAGCCTATGAGGATCGGTGATGTCAGCAAGTTGTTAGGGGGGAAAAAGAGTTGGTTTTTTGCCCCAAGTACCCTGATAACTCCAGGAATTAGGTCAGCAGATATTGGGCTTGGTCATTCAAAAATATTCCTGCTTTGTGGCTGCTGGAGTAAGGAACAGAAATAAAGTGAATTCATAGAATTTCTTTTGTGAAAGGGCTCAATATAAATGAGTTTCAGCCCCCCTCCCGAAGGGACTGCCTGCAGTCTTGGCCTTGCAAACGTCATCTCTTCAACACTAAGCTAATGGTTCTGCAGAGTTATGCATGAGAATCAGGGCTTCACATTTCCCATTCTGTCAGTGAATCTTTCTGCAATTTCAGAAGTTACTTTACTTTGGTACCGTTCTGTTAGCTGTCCTTTGGGATAGCCATTTTCCCAGCAGATTTGACTGAGAAGTCTCTGTTAAATTCATTTAGGTCACAACCTTAACCCAGAACCCTTTAAGGGGACTCTGCAGAGTAATCTGAACAAGACCATGCAGGTTAAGATAGGCAGCAATATTTTAGTGCTCTGCTGCCACCTGTGTCACTGTCCCATCTAGTGAGAAGTGCTGCAAGTGCTCCACAGGCTGCACCATGCAACGGACTGCTGTGCTGTGCAGGAACTGACAAAAATGTGACCTCGGGGAGCAAGTAGGGCAAGTGCCTTCTGGGGATCAGGTACACTCAGAGCTGTTGCAAGGACCTGCTACAGAATACAAGGGATAGTGCAGTTCAAAGTCTGGACTGTTGTTTACAGCAAAAAAAGACAGGCAGCAGTTGTGTTTCGTGTCAACCACTGCAAAGGAATAAAATCGTAAGTGTATTTCTAAATAAGAAGGATACAAGCCACTAGCGTGTCTGGATTTAAAGAAAAGAAAAATACCAGAGAAAACAGCAGCTTTTACAGACTTTGTTGTCGGCTTTAGGGCATGGAGAGAGATTGTTTTTAAAATAACCTTACTCCACAGAAGAGGTAGAAGGCGTCAGACCGAACTCCAGATTTCTGTCTGCCGTTGAGTTTTATCGTACCTCGGATCAGATGGCTCCTCGCTGTCACTGCCTGCCTGCTGCTGCCTTTGCGTAACTTAAACTTACGCAGCTCGGCAGGCTGATGTGCCACGCTGGTATCTGGCCTGCGGCCTTGGGATAAAATTGTGTTTATTCTCCTAAAACGTCTGGGTGGTGGGAGGTTCTTCAGCATGGCTTTGCCGTTCAGTTACTTCATTGCGTGACAGATCTGAAAATTCAATACTATTGCATTTTTTAATGTATGCTGTAAGGACTCTGCTTCTGCTGTGAAATAAAAAGCATTGCGCCTTCTGAGACCAGAGCAGAATTTAACTAGTTCTGGTGCAGTGACAATGTGTTGATGGGAATGTATTGTGATGACCTGTTAATTTCATCCTGTAAAGGAATAATGGAGATGAGGGATTTCACTGGACTGTTACAATGGAGAGAAATGTAGTTTGATACCTTGCAGGCTTTTGGTAGAAACAGGTGACCTACTGCAAAAATGGCTGTATTTTGCATGCCTGTCCTAAAAGCTTTTACTTGTGTCTTTTCACATGAGGGATGTTCTTGGAGAGGTGCAGTCTGTGTTCACAGACGTCTCAGATCCATGCACTGCTCTTAGTTACTTGTAGCCTCACAAGCACAAACTGGTTGTTAGCAATGCACAAAAAGATTTTATCATTTTCAGGAGTGGGGTACTTCTGTATTCAGTTGTATTGTTAGCATAAAAGTACTGTGAGTTTCTCCTGGCTGCTACAAGCATGCTCACACTGTCTTTTGCCAGAATTTATACACCTACTTTGTCACTGCCAGCATTTGGATCACTGCAAATCTTGAGTTGTTCTTGCCTGGAATTCGCTTTCTGTTTGGTGGCTTCTAGGTTATGTTAACATTAAGGTCTTTTGGGAATGGAGAGTCTTTACTACAATTCTTTTGTTTCCTTGTTTAAAAAGAAAGCCAACAAAAAACTAAACAGGAAGAAAAAGAAGAAAAACTGGTACAATTGGGTTTGAAACCATCCCCTTCTGCCCCTTCCACTGTCACGGTTTGGCTACGTAGGGCTTGTTAAGAAGACAGCTAAAGAGGTCACTGTGGTTTGCCTCATTGAACCTTTGCACTGCTACTACTGAGATGTGAGGAAAACCTTTCTGCAGGCTGGTAATATCATGAGGTTTGGGGTTGTTTGCTTGGTTTTGTTTTTTAACTACACTCAACAGGATATGAAGTGTCATTTCAAGTTATCCTATCAGCTTTTCTTTATTTTCCACCTCTTGCTTGAAACGAGGTTTATCTCGTCTCTTCCTGTTTGACTACTTACTTTCATCTGGTTAGCAAGAGCTGAGCTGCTGATGGTTCAAGGACATTGGCTGATGAGAGGAGTGACACGTGGTATAAATTGTGTTTTTGTGCAGAAAGCAGATGGAACATGCAACACAAACTTCAAAACTACGAAGACACAAGAGCAAGTTCTCCAAGTTTTTGTGGAATTCATTGAGGGCAACACAACTATTCTGGTGAGTCTGAACTCTTTGTGTTCACTGATCTTTGACCCATTCAACTTACTTGAGGGCCATACTTCCTCTGGTACAAGAAAGATGGATTTAACTGCCAAGGAAGAACAGGTTTGGACCACTGAGCAGGTGGGCTGGACATGAAGACTTACTGGGCAGTGAGTAGTGGTTGGCTGAGACCTGTTCTGGCAGCTGTTGCCGTACGTTCCTCAGGTTTCCCATAGCCTGAGAGCTAGCCAAAAATCAAACTTGTGACTTGCCACCAGTCTCCACCATAAGTGTAAGATGTATCAGAAGGATGATGATTTATGAGCAAGGATTGTGTTGGCAGAAAACTTGTGATTAGGGAATTTGTTCTAGAGAAAAGAAAAACAGAGCATGTGAACGGGAAGTGAGATTGGTGGCTGGCTCTGCTTGTGTGTGAGACTTGCCTCAGAGAGCAATTCCTGTACGCTACTTCATGGTTTTTCAGAGGAAGCACAGCAGGTGTGTGGTAGATGTCATAACATGTCTCTATCGTCTTCAGAACTTCAAAGGCTGCCATAGTATTTTGTTGCAGTATAGAAGCCATTATGAGGAAAAATTAAGCACCCAGGAGCAGTGTGCTTGGTAGTACAGGACAGCATTAAAAATGCATACTGGAGCTTTATGTGTTGATTTTCCTCCCCTTATATGTTTGGAGCTTCCTTGTCTCTCTAACACCAACTCATTCTCTTTCCACTGTGGTGAACGGAAAGATTCTTCATTGCTTGAAACTTCTATCTTCATTGGAAAAATTATAAAAAAGAGGGAAAAATAAAAGAAGCATTTAGCATTTGGCTGCAGAGCAGACTACATTATTGCATCCAGACAGATAAGTATGCTTGGTGTAATGCATGTAGCAGAGGAGCTCAATTCTTTTGCAGTGAAAGCTTGTTGAAGTGTATTTTCAGATTGACTTTCAAATGACGGCTCTGTTTGGAAAGACTTCTAATCTAAAACCAACTCTTTGTTATGTTGGTTCTTGTAAGCAGAATATCTTCCTTCATTCTCTGCCTGTTTCTGTTTTCTTTTTTCTGTCGTCACCCTCCAGAAAAAATACCTCAAGCGTCTGCAGGAAATTCATATCGTTCTTGAATCCTCAGACTTCTTCAAGCGACATGAGGTGAGCAGTGAGTATAATGCTGTGTGAAGGTGTAGTTTAGTTCTGCTTCTTTTAGTCATTCACATGTACTACAGAATTGCCTACTCTATTATTAGAAAGGAGTTTGTGGTAGAAGAAAACAGTACAGGTAGCCTTCATCACAAGGATACAGGAATAACAGATCTTTAAGGATAATGGATCCTCTCATCTTTATAACATACCAACACACTGAGCCCTGGGCCACTGTCGAGAGTAGTTTAGTAGTACCAGTTTCCTGTCGTTTTCTCTAATCTCGGTGTGCTACAGTGGAATGTTTACAGGGAAGTGGTAATGTGGAAGCTTGCACCTGGTACAACAGAATCCAGTTGTGTTTTAGACGATCAAGTCTTTATCAAAATACTGGATTTGTGTTAAATCTGTATAATTCTGCTATATACGTTCTCCTATGCTTTTCTGTAGAGAGAGCATTATTGGCATTTTAAGTTCTGGTTATTACAGCTCAAGATTTTGAGGTCAGACATTTTATTTTACCTTGTTAATTTCCACTTGTCACTGGAAGCAATTTTGTTAATCGTAGGTTATAGTCTTTATTTGAAAACAGTTAGTGGCATTTTCTCCATTGCTGGAATTGAGACCAGCTGCCGAGTGGGCTGGTGAACTGCTTTAATTCCCTCTGTCTGATGGGTCCCTTTTTTCAGCTAGCTGCCCATTTATACATTACTGATTGATTTTAGTTATATAAACAATGCATGCAAGTTGTAAATATGCAAGCAGAGTGGCCTTTGGCCCTAAAGACTGTTGGGTCTCAGGTGAGAAGGCTGTCATCTTAATGGGTGGCATGATAAGAGGAGACCTAAAGATACGCTTTTAACATAATCTCAATCTACGTTCCAGGTCGTTGGAAGTTCACTACTTTTTGTACATGATGGCAGTGGGAATGCCAATGTGTGGCTGATTGATTTTGGGAAGACCACCCTTCTTCCTGATGGGCAGACGCTGGATCATAGGATCCCCTGGCAAGAAGGCAACAGGGAGGATGGGTACTTGTTGGGACTGGACAATTTGATTCGCATCTTGGAAAGCATCACGGAAAGATGAGTTGAAAGTGACACAAAACTTACAGGGCTGCTTTGTAACTAACTTTCTTCTCTACTGAGATCACTCAGAAGGAAACTGCTTTAACTCACTCCCTTCAGACTCCTGAGGTCATCACAGTGCAGAGGGAACTACATCCAGAACCCAGCAGCTAATTATCAAAATGACTTTGCATCAGCCCTCTGTGAACCTAAATAACTAACTCCAGATTGGTCTGCATTGCACCAGCCTAACGCAAGACTGGTCCTCAGAGAATCAAGATCTCCATACTCAGGAACCACACCAGCATGAGTCAAGAGGTCTGTATGGTAAACCAGAATGATTCTGATTTCTGGTAAACTGATGGGACTTCCAGATTACCTCTCAGTGATCCAGAGCAAATGCTTGGGAATTCAGGGGAGGAGTAACAATTTTTCAGGGAACTGGATAGTTTTGAAACCAGCAGGAGTGTTTCTTTTCTTTCACCCTAATTCCAAGTCTTCTTGCTCCTGTGTAAACTATAGGTTGGACTAACAACAGCTGCTGCCTTATGTTATGGGTGTACTCAAGGTGGAAATCGATGATAAGCAGAAGAATCCTGGAGCAAAGTGAGACAGCAGTTGTAGTGGCTGTATGTGGTAACTGTTGTTGATTAGTCCTGCTCATCCCCACCTTAGCCTCAATTCACTTCTGTCCAAGAGCAGCCTTTGCTTTTTTATGTAGCCTCTGAGGAGATTACAGATAGTCCAGGGAGAGAGTAGCAGCCTGTTGTCTCCAGAAACATTTGACTTTTCAAACTGGGTGGGCTGTTGGGAAAGTGCCTAGCTTGGCAGGTTTGGCCTCTTGCAGCTGAACTACAGCTGTGAAAATCAGTTACTGCACTCTAGCACTCAGACTGGGGACTAAGGGGGTTTTTCAAGGCTTGCTCATTTTTAACATAAAACTACTGTACACATGCACATACATGCACACACTAGTAGCCAGTAAGCAATGTGATCTTTTAAGATTATAGTTTGACTGTCTTCTGATGCACATGAAAGAGGTGATTTCTTAACCGTGCTCCTATTCCCAAGTACAATGCTGCCACTGAAGTGTGTAGACTTATGTAAGTACTTTTATATAAAAGTGTATAGTGCAGCAATCAGGAAAGTAAAGTTCCTGCATTCACAGCATTACACTAAAGATAATTCCTACGCATTCCTCCTCCAATATATCAGCTGTTAACTCAGGGCAGTTTGGGGGAAGGAATGTCAATATATCACATCCTTTAATCCCTGTCTGGAATCACAGGACCACTTTTGGTTTACTCTTTTCTGCTGTGGCCCAGGCACAGCCACAGAAAATTCACAGTGATTCAGTGTTTAGATTAAAATCAAGAAAGTCTGAAGTGATACTTCTTACACTGGCTTCACACACCATTTCTGTTGGTTGCCTCTTGTCACTTTAACAGTTCTATAAATATAACAGGATATAAAGACCATCAGTATTCGCCTGTTCACTTACATTCCAGGCTTTAATATAAATACATGTCGATGCAGTTGCCAAAATGAGGACATGACTGAAGATTAGTGTTTGATTAATTCACTTTTAACATCTTGAGCTGGTAATGCACATCGATCAGAAATTGCTTCTCTTGCGAGTGTCCTGTGCTCAGAAGAGATTCCAAGAACTGCATCTATCCAAGGATAGATGAAGGTAACTCGGTGCTTTGGGGAGCAGCTTTTTCAAGAATAACTAACTGTGACCATGAGCAAAAATCCTGTAGAGCTTAGCTCTGGAATGAAATGCATCTGTGACGTTTGTAATTTGAATCAAAGGGAAATCAAAGAGTTAGTTTTGATAACAGACTCTTGTACTATGAGATCAGATTTGAGAACTTATTCATCACCTCTCAACAAAACAGCAGTATTAAAAATGCAATTGTGCCCTGAAGGTTAGAGGACATAGAATGGATATCCTGTGGGAAGTAGTGAGGTGTGAAGACATTTCCTTGTCAAAGAGGTTGTTTGAAACTGCTAATTATTTTTGCAGTTCGCTGCAAATTCAGACTTCTTCTGTGGCCTTCTAGAGTCCTTCTCAATTTATTTTCGTGATAGTATGCTAATGAATTTTCCACTGTTTTGTTTTGTTTTTTTCTCAGAGAGTTTTTTAGCTATTTCAAAGAGTTTACACTTTTTTTTTTTTTTTTTTAAATTGTGGTGAGCTTCCAGTATTGAGCACGCATGTTATAATTTCTGATGCCTCCTAACTTTGGAATTCCTATGAGATGACAAATTAATCTGTGGTGGTTTTCATACTATTAATTAAGAAAAAGTCCTCCTCCTTTTCTGCAGCCAACAGGTAAACTGCCAGCTAGCATTGCTTAAGGAGAAAAAAAGGAGTAAATAAATCTCACAGGATTACCTTTAATAACAAGGCCTTTTCTCTAAGACTGCAGTTTCAGGGATTTAGGAAAAAAAAACAACCAAAACCAGACAGAACTGGAAAAGGTTAAATAAAGCATAATGAGACAGGGTGATACAATTAATTAGTGGTCTGCCTAATTAACTTTCATAATGCTTTTTTTCTGTTAACACGTGTGAACCTTTTGCATCAGTGCGTTATTTTCTGGATGGGGGTGGGATTTAGGGGGTAAAAGTTAGGTGATACTCCAATGTCAATCGAGAATGTGTCATGAACTTTTAGAATTAATGTCTTGTTTTAAAGAAGTAGAAGCAATGTGGTACTTCAGTACTTCAGTACTTCAGAAACCTGACTGCTGCTAGCACCTCCGAGGGTGGTTTGTAGACCCTCATGTTGGAGATAACAAGGGAACCTCTTCAGAGCTGTGCAGTAGGTGAGAAGATGGGGGTGGGAGAGGGGAGAAGGAAAACCTCAGCTATAGCAGTCCTTATTTCCTTATTCTGGAAATTCATTCCAGATGCTAAATAGTTCTAGTAAGTTTGTTTAAAAATCACCCTTTGGCTTATCAAAGGGCTGGAAAGGAAGAAACCACAATCTAATATTATGCTGCTGTTACAGGAAAGGTGCAAAGGAAGGAGCTTTTCATTAGCAAATGGCAAGTATAGGACTGCAAATGTGAGGACTGGAGCTCTCAGGGACTGGAGGCTGTGAGATCATGAGCAAATGATCACAGGGTAAGTTAGATAACCTTGATTCACATCAAAAATCCCCGAGAGGCTCTTTGTGTACATTCACGTGCTACTGTGAGGAAGCAGCATAGCTTTCTTTTGCTGTGGAGTAAGTTGCCTTGAACAGGCTGACATTCGTATGGGATCAACATGCGCAGGCATTGGCCATATAAGAGCTGCTGCATGATAGCCAAGGCACTTGCTCACATGCAAGTCCAGAACACAGTTCTTTAAATGCTTCCGCTGGGATAGTGCCTCACTCTGGAGACACTGAAATCACATGTGTTTCCACAGCATGGGAAGATATGCTCGTCCAGGCATGGAGCAGCTAACCTCTGAGTTAGGCACCAAGGTCATTAAGCTCATTAGTTAGATGCAGCAGAGTTCAGTGTGCATCTACCAGTAGGACATCTCTTTCCCAGCTTTGACAGTGACTCACATTTTGGCCTTGGGCAGCTATCCTCGGCCTCAGTTTTGTTCCTGTTCTACAGTTGGTAATAGTACCTCCTTACCTCACAGAATGGTATGAGGCTGTACTTCATTTTTGCCTCCAAGATGCCTTGAGGTTCTTTGGTGGAAGGTGCAATATAAGAAGAAGTACACAAAGAAGTATATTGGATGAGTTTAAAAATGATAGGTGTTAAGGTTCCCCATGGACATACATTTGGATTAAGTTTAACCAAAGTGATGCTAATTAAATGCCTCTGTATTTTGCACGTAGAACATTAATTTACCATCTGATTCTGATTCAGTTCCTATGATAAGGAAAGATTTCAATGGGATTTGGACTAAACCTGTGAGTATCTCACAGGGCTCTTGCTTTTTTTTTTTTTTTTTTTTTTTTTTTTTTGTATTGGTATCATTATTTTTTGTTATTCTTACAGTTCTGAGATCAAATGACCTGTATTGTCAACAGTGCTTCTGTTCTGAACACTACAATGCAATGCTGACTGTGGTCACTTTTGACTGTATTGGCTGAGTGTTTGTTACTCTTAAGTGTGTATACTAATAAATACCTGAGACTGAAGAAAAAAGGGCATCCATGGTGATTTGGTCACATAAGAATATTATTTTCTTAAAGAGCTTCCCTATGCAAGGGACAAAACCGTGTTATTTCAGTGTTTCTTGCGGTTTTAGGCTTTAGTATCTACTATTTCCTGATAAAAAACTGGTTCTGAGACATCTGGAAGCTGACATTGCAACTCTGTTCCCAACACCATGCAAAGTTTGAAGGCTTTCTTAGAGGTAAGTTCTGTCTCAAAAATGCAATTCTTACAGCATATTAAAAAATAACACGTTAAAACGTACTTTGCACACAGAGCAGCTGTTTCCACAGCATTGTCTTTCGTGGCAGTAGGGGATAAACAGTGCTCTGTTCCTGGAGTCAGTCCTCTGCCACTGGCAACCTTTCTCAGCAAGACAGTGTTCTCTTACCTGCGTGCAAACCATATTTAACACAGAGGGAAGCAAATAGTCAGCACTGGCGTCTCTTTATTTTGTGTTGCAAATATAAAGTATACATTTGTCCAACTTGAAATTGCATAGAAGCAGGCTTGTCATCTATTTATGCACAGTAGTCACCCAAAAAGGTAAGTTGACAAGAAGTGCTGCTGTGTTCAGAGGTAACGACAAATCAAAACTGGTTCAATTAAGCAAAAGTGTCGTGTGATGAGACTAGCAGGTGTTAGTGATGTCATGCCTAAGGTCTCTGCATCAGATTGGAAAGGGTAGGCAGCTAGGAGCAGGAAGAGCAATGCCACAGCTGCAGGAGAGAACTTGTCTGGCATAGCGCTGCTGCTCAGCGGTTTGAAGAAGAGTGGTTCCTGGCTCACACTGCTGCAGAGATGCACGTACTTTGGGGAAAACCATATTCCCAGCAGCAGAGTTGTGTTTTTTCAGGTAAGGAGTAGGAGGGTATTGGAGGTGGAATAAGTTATACTTGCAAAAGCCCATATCTTTGTAATTATATCTGTGCAACTGTCTCAGTGTACACCAGCCCGCTGGCACGTAAGTGGAGAACTTACCTGGGGAAAAGGGTTGATATAAGCGGAAACCTTAAATCTGTGCACAGTTAAAAATTCTGCCTGTTTAAAGGGAAAATGAAGATGCAAAACTCTTGAAGTAGAGGAGAGAAATGTGAAAAGAAAAAATAGACAAATTATTTCATCTTTTGTTATTACAGTTCTCTTATAATGTAGGTGTGAGGCTGCATGAAGGAACATAAAGTACTAATGCAAAATCCAGAAGAAAAAAACATCTCTATATACACACATCTAAAACTGAGGTGGTAGATAGTCTTTGTTAAAATGTAGACACCCAAAGGGAAGAACAATTTATAGTATTCCTATACAGGGCTGATTCTTCACTGGGGAGCTGTTGGAAGACTTTCCGTATGGATTACGTGACTAAATAATGCCAGTCTCCAGCTCGAGTCATTCCTCTCGGTAACAAAATTGGTCTTTTGGGTTTTAGTTGCCCAGGTAATCTAATTTTGACAGTATGGGTTAAACTCATTCATTATGCATGACTATGTGCATCCCTTAAAAGACTATTTCAAGTAAGTGGTATTTTGAAATGGAAAAATTTGGACACTGAAATCTGTGGTTGTATTAACAGTCTAAGAATTGTAGGAATTAGTGCTTGGTTGTAGTATACATCGTTTAGAGTTATTTTTCTTTTTAATAAACCTATTTTGGACAGCTTATTGTATCGCAGTAGGAGCAGTATTAGCATTATTTCCTCCTGTATTGTCATTTAAAATTTTTACTATGAGGTTTTTGGAAAGCATCTAAGAGATCAGATAAACACAGAAAAGCTATTACGGGTCAGAGATTGATGGTGTCTGTGTTGACAGAAGTTTGCTTACCTTTATTTCTATTTGAGGGAGGTAAGAACACATAAAAAGCATGTTGCTAAATGCAGATGCTTAAAGTTCTCAGCCAGTTCTTTCAGTGCCCATTTGGTCTGCGCAGAGCCACGTTCTGTCTTGTTAGGAGACACTGCATCTGACTCAGTACACCCTGAGCTACATGCTGTTGTAAACTAGCAACATACATATAAGGGATAATAACTGCATGCTTATTCTGCTCTTGCAAGTGCCCTTCAACACCCTGCTATTGGTCACTATTAGAGATAAGATACTGGGCTGGATGGAGGTTTACTGTAGTTCAGTGGAGCTTTTTCCCTGTTCTTCCTGTATATATAAGTATATTGACTTAACTATTCATTGAAAACATCTGTGTTGTCCGAAGTGCTAGACTGATGGACTTGCTTACATTTTGTGAATAAATTAAGCTGCATGCAAGACCCACCTGTAGCACTGGTGAGTAGTGGAAACTATAGTTCCAACTTTGCTCTGCTCTCGCTTTACTTCTGTCACTTTACTTTTCAATGCCTCAATGTTTTATCAATATTGGCTTCTCTAAATTTATGAATGAAGTTGAAGCAAATGCTGCATATGTGAAAAACAACAGTAGCTCAAAGTGAGCTCAGCAGGGATCCTGCCTGCTTCTCACTGGAATGCTAACATTATTGTATATAGATGAGCTGCTGTAATCCAGCCAGCCAAGATTAGGTCTGTTTATTCTTGACAAGCAGGTTGCAGAGGTGGGCTGCCTGCGACATAACCAGAAACGTTAGCCTCTACAAGGGGAAAGGATGAGTACCCTAATTTCCTGCTAAATCTACCTCATCTAACCTGGCTGTAGCAGTTCCTGGACGTAAGGTAGGACAGACAATGGGCTAAAAGCATGAGTAACACCACGCTGATAACTTGGAACTTCACAACGTGGATTTGGAATTTTTTCCATGCTATACAGCTCACTGCTAAAAGAATCATCGTCAGTAGGATCTGGAAATCAGAATACATAAAACTACTCATTCTCAAGCTTAAGGTCTAAGACTACAGGAAGCTGGGAACAAGTACAAAGCCAGATAAGGAAAGCATTAAACCTGAACTGAAAAAGCACTCCACTGACAAAGGATGGATTCACAACTCTCCACTCTGTGCTATTCAGTATGACATATCAGAGTATCCTGCCCTCAGAGACATAGAGGAAATGAAGTTTGTCTTCAAAGCAATCTCTATCCTGCTAAACCACATCTTTACACTGTATGCATACAGCTATTTCCTATGTGTGTAGCTTGTACTGGGGCACCTCATCTCTTTTGGAAGAGAACAAGATGGAATCTATAGCCAACATCGTGGCACACGACTTGATTACATGTAAAGGCAGCATGTAGTTTGCCATTGCAGGTTGGTCATGCACAACACAGGAGTGGGACAGGTACAAAATGTGTGAGACTGCTCAGGCTTAAACCAAGTTATTTACTTTTCCAGGCTCCAGGGTTTAATCAGTAAGCATCTGTTTAGACCCTACATAACGGAAAATAGCCTTAGAAATAGTTTTTCAAAAAATCAACTACATTAACCAGCAACTCTGTATGCTAGAAAGGTTAAAGAGAAAGACAATGTGTGTGAAGCAACGTCATAGTTATAGCTTTCTGAAGTGGCTGAGCTATTTTGCCTTGCTGTAAAAGGGGCGTTGTATTGGGCGATGTCTGTATTAAGCAGGTTGTCTGCACTCTGCTCCCTTGCATTACTCTGTTTCTACTTCAAAGAAGTAGATATGAAAATTGCAACCAGCTACAGCCTACCAAATTCTACCATTACCTTAGAACATCAGTAATGCTTATCATCATAGCACAGGAAATTACTGCCATGTATCAAAGTACTTACAAAAATGAAGTCCATCCCAAATAAAGTCCATTAAAAGATGAAGATAGTCCATTTCCCATCACCCCCGTCAGCTCACTCTTTCTTGGAAAGCCGCCTGCCCCTTCCACACCAGGAGCAGTGAAGAACACAACACCATGAGGCAAGCAGCACATTTTCCTTGTTATTCAAAGAGATCCCATCAGCTTCACTATCTATTTTTTTCCAATCGTCAGTTTGTTTTCCTCTTCATTGCTTGTTTTCAAAATGCATGCTCAGAGGATCCTGGATTTTTTTTCATCCTTCTTGCTGCTTCCAATTTAAGCAGTAACATCATGTTTTTCAAAGGGTCTGCTATTAAACAGATGAAAATGTGGCTGCTATTCGTTTACTTTCCTGTCACTATGTGAGCATCATTAGGCAAGTCCTCAGGACAGTAGAAAGCTCAAGGAAACACAGCAGGTCTTCACAAGTTGCTCACTGCTGGCACAGCATGCATTTTTGGTTTCTAAGGTCAGAAAGAAGAGCAGCCTATGTTGGTCATTATTTCCATCCAAACACTATGGTTGGACAATAAGTCTATTTCTTTTCACCTGAGCTGATTGAAAAAGAGGTCTTTTGTTAGGTACTGTATGCTGATTCAGAGCAGCAGTACTGTTTTCTCTACAACTAAGTTGGTCCAATGGAACACAGTCGGTGGACAGAAGTAGAAATGCAACTGTCTGTAATGATCTGGGGATCTGGCAGGTAGAAGGAGGAAGAAGATCACTGCTGATGTCAAAACATCACCCCCCTAAAGGAACTTACATGGAGAAAGTAAGTGAAATAAGAAGCAGTTCAAGTTTGCCCTTCCAGAAACACTTACATTCTCTGATATTTGGATGAATCTTTTCTGTTATACGGGTGTAACACTCAGATCATCTGACAAAGACAGACCAGAGTCCCTCTCTCTTGCTGCTTTATCTGTTTTATAAAAAGGTTTCTCATCTGTATGCAGACTGGAGCTCCTTAGCACAGCTGCTCTGACCCCTGTCAAAACTGATGGTGGGTGATCAGCGCCATAGCACAGATCATCATATGCATAATTTACATTACCACAGGGGAAAGTCTGGAGTTTCACCAGTTCGATCCCACCAATGTCTAAGTGAGGGCAGTTGCTTCGACTTGGAGATGCTGGAGATGCCCGAGAACTAGGAGAAGAACTGCAATTTCCATCAAAGCCTGAATCTTCTCGCTCTGGAGTTGCTTTCAGTTTGGAGGTGGGGCTTAAGTGACAGACGTTCTCTAGCACCCATGATCCATAGGTTGGATTCCAAAGGTTTTTAGTTTTGTTCTTCAGCCTGTGGGTTGATGGATTGCTGAATTCTAACTTCTGGTTTGAAGTCTGGATCCAGGATGCGCTGAAATCACTGAGGCATGGCAGGCTGGGCCCTCGAGCAGCCCGGTTGCTGAGGTTTTCCACCAGCAGCTCTTGTGGACATTGTACAAGTTTTTGCCCAGGACGGTGGGAATCCAGGGTTTTAGGTGTCATCTGAGGTGTAAGAGAAGGGCTCACCAACAGGGGCACTATCCCACTGGAAACATTTGGGCGCACAACCGTGTTCCCTTCATCCTCTGGTGCTGGGCTACACTCCATGGGCAGCTCTGTGTTGATCACATCAGGGTCCTAGAAGGATTGCACAGAAATGTGTTACACTCTGAGTGCCTCCAGGGTGACACACCTGCATTTTCAGAGAAATAGCTTTGCGAGAAAAGCTTTTGGCAGAGGTTGGCATTAGGCTTGGGCACTATTCCTGCACCTCATACAAGGTGCCATAAGCCATCTGGGCACTGCATGCTGTTAGAACTTGCAAAAGTGTTGTCTCGTTTATGTGCTTCCTTTGAACAGTCGCTGTGCTTTACTGAAATCAGCATATGAGCTGAGGGTTGCCCTATATAATTTGCCTCTCAGGCAGGTTAGATCCATGCCTCTAATTGTAAAATTCTACCAGATGATGAACACGCTGTGCCATCTTCCCTCACCCCCCCATTAACAATTCAGCCATGGCTTTCAACCAGCACTAAGCAAGGTCAAAGTGTGGACCTTCGCAGACAATAAATACCTTTCTATCACAAAAAGAAGGGCATTTTGCTACTGAACAAGCAGTGAACTGGAAGCAGCCACTTGCACAGGAACAGTATCATGTGATTTTGGTTGGGCTGAAGATAGGTGAGCTAAGGTAGGTAGATGAAAACACAAATGAACAGTTGAGCCAGCACTACCACTGGAAAGTATATCAGCCTGTGAGGAGCCTTAATCTTGTTTGCACTAATAGTGCATTTGGATGGCTGGCATTCTTGGGAATTATCATCCAGTTACTGTGGGCCAATACCTGCGTGCAGTACTTGATTCTTTCCAGGATGGTAGAGAAGTTTGGCCGGTATTCTGGGCTGTGCTGCCAGCACTGCGTCATGATGCGGTACCTTAAAATGAAAGAGAATCCATTAACAAAGACAACTGTGAAAGATGTGTTTCAATGTGATGCAAGCTTGGGTCCAGAAGAACTGCACTCAGTAAATGGCTCAAAGGAGTGGAGCAAAAGTAGACGTCATTTCTGCATCCTTGGATCCCAACAGAAAGCAAATCCTGTAGTGGTCTAACTTATGTACAGGAGGCAGTGGCTCAAGAGATGCTCAATAATACTGGGATAGTATTTGGTACAATCACCAGTCCCCAATGGAAGGTGTCTAGTTGCCTTTGTCCAACCCTTTAGAACCACTGTTCCATAGTTGAGAGAGTGAGGAAATACTTACACAGGCCCTGGGCAGTTCTTTGGTGGGTCCATTCTTCCTCCACTGGTGACAAATTCCAGCACTTCCTGATTAGTTTTGCAGGGATAGGGCATGTAGCCTAGAGAGAAAATCTCCCAGAGAAGAACACCAAAGGACCTGCGTCAGAAACCAGATAGTAATGCTGATTAGGTTTCCACATTTGTGCTCCACAAACCTGGAACAAAGTTGGGTAGGTAAAAACACAGCAGCAACCTTTTGAACCTGCAGGCCAACTACAGAAGTGTGCAATTAGCCTGGTTATGAGCCAACTTTGATTTAGAAAAAAACAACAAAACAATCAATCAAAACCCTTCTTCAAGCTCCCAAAGTAGCTTTGCAGACACCTCAAAATATCTGAATTTGTTCTTTCTGCTGCATTTGTTATTTCTAGAACAGAAAATGCTAAAGCACCCTTTGCTATGCATGGTCTAACTAAAAACAAGAACTGTTATGTTTGGCTTGGAGATTCCTATCTTACTTTGACAGACTTGAGATGTTTGAGTCAGTGTTTGGCAAAAGGATGCTCAAGAATAAAACAAGCTAGAGACCTTCACTAGAAGTGCAAAAGTAAACATCGTCATTATATGGTTGCTCTTTTCTCTTTACATCTACAGGTCAGTTAGGCAGTGACACTCAAAATTTCTTACAATGTAGACCCAGGGAAATTGAGGGATCTGCAAAGGCTTCAGTAGGGTCATTAATTTGTAAGAGTCACTATTTGGTGCAGAGGTGGATGAGATTTCCAGTACATACACGTTATGTACAATAGCCTGTTACAGTTACAGGAACTGCAGTGCTCTCCTTCAAAATATTTACTACTGGCTGCTTGCAGTTATGTTCTGATACACAATCCCTTCTCTTCTGGCATTAACAACTTCAGGAAACTGGGTCAGTGTGCCATTTAAGGTAATATTTCAGTTTGCTTATTGAAAAGTACTGTATAGGAAGAGAGGAGTTCTTAAGCAACTGGAAAGCTTCCATTCCCCAGCACCTTTGCATGAATGTGTCATTGTTGAGGGGGTGTTTATTTTAAGGAAAAATCAGGCTACATGAAGAATCGATATATAAATACTGTTTCCTCAGCAACAAGCAGGGACTTCTTAAATCTGCTGTCATTTCATATACAAAAGAAAAAAAAAAAGGATAGAAGAGTAATCCTGTGTGGTATAGATAGAGTCATTTACAAAGTACATGAGCAGGCCTTGTCACCAGTAAGTACTGAGTGGCAGATACTAAGAGCTGAAGGAAGTGTCTGCTTTTTTGACCGAGACTTCTTAGGATTCTAAACGGTCTTCTCTTTACCCTTGTATGATACTCTGCATTTATCTATGGCTATTTGTTGTGCCCTCCACTTGCACTAGAGTTTTTAATTTCACTTAATTTCTTAGTCAGTCTTCTAACAAAGGGAAATAATCTATTTTTTTTTTTCTTCCCATTTTAGGACATGGAAGATTGATATCTTTAGATTGATATCCTGCTGCTTTTTTCCTTGAACAGTAAATGTGGTTTATTAGTGAATAGCAGAAGTTATTAATAGATATTTATTACCAGGTATCAGTTTTAGAGGTAAAAATGCCTTCTAGAAAAGCTTCTGGCGGCATCCACTTGACAGGAAGCATGGCTCTTCCTCCCTTGCGATAGTAACTTGCTCTGGGAAAGATTAAATATATGCAGAATGTCACACAGCATCAAAGGGCTAAGATGTATAAAAGATCCTATCACCACAGCAACAGGAACTGGAGAGAGTGCATGCAGTACTGGGGGCCAAATAAGAAAAAATCATCACCAAGAATTGCACCATCTGAGTAGTATTTCATACCATGTTTGCAACTGAGATGGAAAAATGATGATGTTTAGGTGCACAGCTGAAGAGATCAAATGCACTGAAGTTGTGCATGAGGCACTGATACAGAAAATTTTCTTGACCTCATATATTTACAGTTACGAATATTTTTAAAATTTGAGATTATTTGTGATCAACCAGCTTATAAATTTACCTGAGTTTGGTTTAGCATCCATATGTGTTTGCAATGCTCTCTAGGACCCAGTCTGGAACGATACAATTTGAGTGTATTTGCTACTAGGCATAGATGTGTTAATTTACAGTCTGTTTACCCCAGTTAGTTAACTGGAAATCAAATTCAGAAATGTAATAGACAGTTCAGCTGCTTCAAATTAGATGAGGCAGTTCAAACCATTTAAATGGATACAGATTACTGAGTAATTCATGTGACTGAAATGGCCTTTCACTTACCTGTAGATATCTCTGGCCATCCCAAAGTCACCAATTTTGGCTATTCGGCCTGCTCCAGTGCAGGTCAGAAGGCAATTCCTTGCAGCTATATCTCTTTAAGAAAAAAGAGAAAAAGGAAGAAAGAAAAAAAAAGCACATAAGAGAAAACTTCTTCACTGTGAAGGGAACAGAACACTGGAACAGCTGCCCAGGGAGGCTGTGGAGTCTCCTCTGGAGAAGTTCAGAACCTGCCTGGATGATCCTGAACGATGTGCTGTAGGTGACCCTATTTGAAGCAGGAGGGCTGGACTAGGTGGCCCCATATGGTCCCTTCCATCCTCAGCCATCTGTGAATGGATAATTCTGTCTAATTTTGAACTCCTAACTAGCTAAAGGAATAAAGAAAGAAAGTTACATCCAGCTCTACAAGTCTTAGCTGAGTCATCTTAACACAGATGAGGATAACTTTAGTGAAAACAAAAACTATTCTAACTACACAATCATTTTCATTAACTGTAATTATTAAACTGCATTTGCATTACATTTTCTACCATTTCTACTCAATGTACTCTGAGCATTACCCGCTACCACCTTCTTTCACTAAAGCAGAAAACAGGGTCAGTCTCAGACAAGGTAAGGATCCGACCTCTTCTGCATCAACCACATTATGACAGTATGTGTCTTTCTAAAAAGAAAACAAATGTTTTCTCAGTGGCATCAGCATCTCTATCAGCAATGCAGATGTGATGCTATTGAAAAGTCTTAGTAAACTGCTCGAAAAGTAGGTTTGGTTGAAAAACAGATTCCTTTGGTGCTTCTGGCAACCTCCCATGGAACCAAGCAAAGCTGCATATGGGAGCAGCCATTTGCTGGATGCAAGTTTAGATTGTGACAAATGGTAGGCATGACTGCGTGGCCAATGCTGAATGGTTTGTATTAATTTTAAATATGTGTTCTGAAAAGGGACTCATTAAAAATCATAGCTCTGTGTGGGTCCTGTTGGCTGCCAAGAAAAATGAGCTCCTTGAACAATAAACGTGTTTCTTCCCACTGCCAGCACTGAAAATTCCCACAGGATCTGGAATTCAAGCTTAGCTTTTTCCTTTTCTCCCATTATCATCTGTGACTCTCACATGACAAGGCTTCACATACAAGACTAGGCCCTTAGTGACATCTCTGCAACATGATCCTTCCCACCAGGATACCATTCACCCATACTTAAGGCCTTCTCTGAATTCCACATCTGTGAACTCTAAATAATACTGATGTCACTAAAAAATACTAGCACAAGACCTAAACAAAATCTCTTTTATGCAGATTTGCTGAATCACTGGCTAAAACGAGCCTGTTCCCAGGTTGCTTATACAGAAGATCTAATGGTGTAAAAACTGAGCCAGAGAGTTTTTTGAAAAATGATGTGCTACTGCTGAAAGAGGCAAACACTGGTTTCTTCCATTTCTGTCCTGAAATTGAGCAGAAGCAGCTGACCCATCCACTTGTTGACACAGATTTTAGACATCTTATGTGATGGCAGCTAGCCTTGGTGATCTATAGTAAGAAAATCAGAGAACTTCTACCTGAGTGGAGTAATGAAAATTGGTTTTACTAAAAATACTACATGTGGAGGCATGTGGAGAGGAGGAGACTTCGCTTGAGTCCATATCAATAGCCTGTGGCTGACATGGCAAAAGATTTTACACGCTTTGGTTGCCGTCTCACAGATGTTCCAATCATAAAGCCATAACACGTCCCCTATCTCAATCTCATACCTTTTTGCCTCTTGTTTCCCTCAGTCTCCCCAGTTTGTACACACCCTTGCCTAGCTCTGCTTCTTTGCTGTGTACAACATCACATTTAAGTGTGTTTGTTGGGGGCGGGGGTAAATTGCCTGACAACTTGCGTAACTCCATGCTGCACATAGGCTTAGAGTCTGTGTCACCCCCTGGGGCAAAAGTCTCTCCTGTCCTTCACAGGCACCCACTGAACTCAGCACAGAGTTCATACTTAGGAACAAATTCAGTTCATGCTACGCCTGGCAACTTTATGAGCTGAAACAATTCCTAACCAGAAATAAAGAAGTCCAACATTCAACTGGAAATCTCAAAAGGCTGCCTGTAAGAACCTATACCCCTTCTACAGGATTTTACTTGTATTTGAAGCCTACCAACATTTTCTTGCTGAACAAGGAAGAAAAAGGATTGAACAGAAAAATGATGCTCTCCTCTGGATCACACAGCAGGTCAGCCACTGGGAAGAAAGCCTTGAGTTCTGGTATTTTGCTTCCTATTATTCCTACTTTACCCTACTGGAGACAATGGCTCAAATACGGGCAGTCCTGTGCTGATGGGGCAGGGGGAAGGAAAATAGAGCAGGCTGTTTACAAGCTAACACAGCGTGACACTACCATCTAGTGGACCATAGGGCTAATTTCAAATGTGTCTACATTGTAATCACCTGTAAATTGAAAACGCTTGAAACCATTCACTGCAAAGAGGAAGATTCCTTTCTTTCCAACAGAGCCCAACTCGTGCCAGTGACTAGAGGGATTGGCCTGGACACCTGACCACAAGTCTGTTGGTAGAAATCTCTGGCTTCCCTCTGGAGGTAGCTCTGTTTAATGTGCTGCAAATAGAATCTGGGTGAGCTTAGCACACTTTTGAGGAAACATACATCAGAAACGAATTTTCCTCCTCACCTGTGTATGAAATGATTCTCTTCCAGATATTTACAGCCACAGGCGATATCCCTAGCTATGTTCAGCAGGTCCTGCATTGTTAGTGTGGATGGTTGATTCTGGAAAAGGATGCACAGAAAGTGGTAAGGGTAAAACAATGGAGTAGAAGAGGCAGAGGATAATTAGAGAGCAGCAGAAGGGAAAGGGAGAGGCATGTACCAGGTGAGGGAAAGGCTGTATCAGTCAGGAGCAAAGAGGGACACAAGCAGCTCAAAAAAAAGTTAGAAAAGGAGATAACTTTTATTTAAGCTTTTTTTTTTTTTTTTTCCCTGAAGATTTTAGTACTTCAGAACACACTGCATGAGTGTAGGCTGCTTAGGAATTTATGTCCCGACTTGAATAGCCTAGAAAAGGGGTGGGAGAAAACTGTTCCCTAGCAGTATTGGACATAGCGGTGAAATGGGAGATAAAACCAAAACAAAGAAAAGCAAAAAAAACCCAAAACGAAACAACAACAAAAAAAAAAACACCAAGAAAACCAAATCCAAACCTTGCTTCTATAGAGTCGATGTATTAGCAAACGAGATTAGCTAATGAATTTAGAGAGAGGGAGAGAGCAAAGACGCAGGAGTGCACATCTCTGCACCAGTGCTCAGCATTCATCGACCCATCTGTTCTTGTGGGAGGGCAGAGGATACCCTGAGTGTGCAGGAGAGGGACGTGGTATCGCAGAGCTCTGGGACCAGCACTCACCCATCACAATCTACATTTCCCTAAGAACAATAAGGAAACCTCTCTCCAGGAGCCCTGCTTATTTTCATGCAGTCATTTACTTCTCTGTAGGGAAATCTCCTTGGTGTTTCTCCAAGAACTTCAATATTGCTCTTGGGAAGGGTGGGGAGAAATTACTACATTGCTCATCAAAAGCTCAAGAGATATCAAATAAATTGTTCTTTTCAATCTGCTTTTGTTCCTGGATGCTGTTATCTCTGCAATTTCTCCTGTTCAAACTACATAGTGTACACTGCAGCCATTGAGCACTGTTTTTATTGGCTAGGCAAGTTATTGTACAAAGCTTTGGACGCCTGCCAAGGAAAATTATTATAGTTATAAAACAGGCATTTCTGGTGAGGAAATGAAGAAGGAGATACAGAATCACAGACTTTGAGACCTTATCTCTTCACTGGGATCCCTCTGTCTGCAATGGGCAGGCACTTCTCTGCAGCCGCAGAAACTTGCAGTGAAATATGTTACTGGTGGGGCCAGTTTGTTTTCAGAAAGGTGAGCAGGGATATTTCTTTGAGTACTAAGGGGAATTCAGCTCTTGTATTTGCTCTCTGACATTCCAGCAAACATAGTGGCAGGTTTGCTTTCACATGATATTTTAAAAATAACTGTTCCTCACATGACAACTATACTTGATTTACAAAGATTATATTTGTATTCTGTTTTCCACAGAATTTATCTACTTGCAGAATTTGTAGCACTGTCACTCAAAATGGCATAATCAAAATTACATAGACTCCTCTGTGTGGGTGCTATTATACCATTCTAAGTGTCCCTAATTAGTATGCTTACTGCTCTGTGAAGAAGGAATTAAGCTAGATCTTCTAACAACACATTAGTATTGGCATACAACTGTACACATGTAAAGCGACAGTATGTTGAGAGGAGAAGCTGTGCAACTGCACCAAGTCACGTAGGAGTGCATAATGCCCCAGTCAACCTCATTCATACTAAAACCAATCACAAGCCTAGCAAGGAAGGATTCTCACCGCTCTGGGTCGATTCTGTCGAAGAAAACTCTTCATATCTCCTCCAGCCATGAGCTCAAGCAGAATGAAGCGAGGCAGCGTCTGCAGGCTAACACCAATGCACTGCACAATATTTTGATGATTGAACTTACTGAAAGACAAGGTCACAGCAACACAAAGGGAGACAACGTTAGTACTTGGCTGACTTCTGCCACGCTCACTTTGCTTTGAGCTTTGATGACCTGCATCGAAGCAAGTTACTGAACAAATTCTAACTTCAGACTTATCCAAATGCCTTTCTACTTATGAAGACTCCCAGGATCAGGGTTCCTCAAACATCCAAACAGTATTGGCGTGTGTAAAACAAAATCTTGTTATGTGGTGATTTTATTTCAGCATTATTTCAAATACGCTGCTGCCTAGTCTAGTGGACTCGGTTCAGCATCTAGTATGCATCTAATACCCACTACAGCAGCTGATTTGGGGATGGCTTTCTACCCCACTGCAACAGAAGAAAAGACAGTCAGGAAGCAAGACTCAGTTTCAGAAAGTAGTGTCTGTCTTTGGACAGCAATGACCTGGAAAATACAGGAAAGAATAATGTGCAGGAGGTTAGGGAAGATCATGTGCTCCCAAGAGAATCAAAGCATTCTATAATTAACTGAAATTGCTCTTTAAAAACTCTATCAGTGTTACCTTCAGTTCATCTGCCACTCAAACTTCTTACAGACTCTATGAAGCAGTATTACGTCACGAGATTTATTCTTGAATCATGCTTCAGCAGAAGAAAAAGAGCATCTAGGTAAAAACTGGGGCAGGTAGCGAGAGGTGGAGAAACTTAATATTGCCCAAATTTAAAATAGATAAATTCCATCTGTGCAAGCTACTGGCACAGTGCAGAGCCACCTTATCTACCTCACCCACACAGGAGCTTTGAAGTATCTCATCAGCTATTTTTTATGGGGGGGAAAAAAAAGTTAAACACAAGGATTTTCCCCAGAAAAAGCATTTATGGCAAATAGTTCTACAGATAGGAAAAGCAAAAAGGCTGCACATAATAGCATGCCACCTGAAAAAGCCTCAATTTGAAATGCTTTTCATACCTTCTTCAGC